AGAGGTAATATTTGGTCTGGTCTGATCTAATTTAATAATTTGATTAAACTTTGACCGCATTTGAATACTAATTTACTATTAAGAAAAACATTATCAAAATGGTTCTTTTTAGATTCGCCTCATTATAAACTTTTCAAATATGTAATTTTCTAAATTTTTTTTAATACGCAATTAACGATTTAACAATAGATAAATGATAATTAAAAGTTTTCATCTGATCGGATCTGAATGTTTTTTATCTAATATGATCTCATCTGAATTTATTAAAAAATAAGTAATAAGTATTTGAAACAAGTTGCATAGAATAAGTCCTTAATCCATACTATAACTTTGTTACCATATACTTGTAGGTTATCGAACTACTTTCTCCCCTTCTTTTATTCTTCCCACTTTAGTTCTATTTTCTAACAAACAAATAAAACGTGCTTAAAAGTTTTTAATGAAAATAATTGCCAAAAAGCAGAAAAGAAATCATAAAACCTAGGGGCAAGGTTAGCGAATGGGTCGCTGTCCCCAAGGATTGATTGTTTGCAAATAGCAAGATATTGTCCTTTGTCCCCAAGGCAAATGGCACATGCCTATAACCAGAAAAGTTGCAACAAAACTGGTTGAATAAGAATAATACAGTAGGAAATAAAAATAATATACGGGTCCCATTTATGTTTTATCAAAACATTATTAGTGTATTTAATTCCACAAAAAAAAACGTGCTTAAAAGTTTTGCATGTTTGAGTTGTTAAAAGCTGTTTAAACTTAAAAACCATTTATTTAAGCAATTAGGCCTTCAAGCTGAAGAGGAGGTTGTCTCTATTAGAGTATCGTCTTAGTGATTTCCATGAAATGTGCTCACATTTTAAAACTATAAGGGCTTGGTTTACTTCACCAATTATTTTTGGTTATCTGATCTGAACTTATTTGATTTAATCTATTATGATATGATCTGATCTTATATAGTTTGATTGAATTGTTTGATTTGATCAGATTTTGACTACATGTATAAGATAATCTATAAAGAAAAAATCTATCAAGTTGTATCTGGTTAGATTCGTAATAATGTGTATTTTATTAATATGTAAATTAAAAATTATGTGTAAATTTCATAATTCTTTTAATTACAAAATTAAAGATATTTAGCGATAAAAACCACACATAAAACAATAAAATATGTCTAAACTTATTTTTTCTGATTCGATATGATATGATCTGATTTGAACTTATTTTTTCTGATCTGAACTTATTTTCTAATCTGATATGAAATAAGTAAAAATAAGGTGCACTAAACATGACCTTAGAGCATTCTCACTAGTAGGCAAAAAAAATGCCCATGGTTAAAAAAAAATGCCCATGTACTACATCAATGAGGAATAGCTAAATCAGAGTCCCCCAAAACGCAGCATTTTGAGTGACGCTCAAGCACAAAAAAATAAAAGAAATAAAAAATAAAAATAAAATAAAATTTAGTAGTAATTGCAGCTTTTCTCTGATCAATTTCTACTTCATTGTTGTTATTGTCATTGTTGTTGTTATTATTTTAATTGTTGTTGTTGTTATTGTCATCCCATTATTATTATTATTATTATTATTATTATTGTTATTGTTATTGTTGTTGTGTTGTTGTTTTTATAAATTAATAAAAAATAATTACTTTTTCGTTAAATAATTAAATTAAGAATTAATATTGTACTCATAAATAATTTAATCACTACAAAATTTAGTTAACATTAAAAATTAAACAATAGTATCAATTAAACATTAAAAAGATATATAGTGATGTGTAAGAAAAAGATATGTTGGTAAGGTATAGGGTAAAAAGTAGGAGAAAGAATGGTGGTGATTTTTTTTTTTTGACCATTGGTGGGGAAAATTTATGCCCAGCAAAATGCCTATGGGGAGAAGGAGTGAGAAAGTGGTTAGAGAGATTGGACAACCAAAATATTGCCCACTAGTGAGAATGCTCTTAGAGTAGAATATAAAATAATGAAGGTATTATATTTATATTGAATTACAGACTTTCTTGAAAAAATTACTCATTTATGGGGAGGACTCTAGTAGATCCCATGGTTGAGCTGCATTGGTAAGGTCACAACACAAAAGAGTTGTCATGAGCCGCCTCATGCATACCATCTCGATCTTAGGAGGCTAATTGTATGGGATAACTCCCATTCCCAGCTCACCGCTAAGCCTAGAGGTTGCAATAAGTTGGCAAACCGCTGATGAGAACAGCTCCCGCTTGGCCTAGTTCATGCATCTATAAGTAGTTTCAAGTACATCGGAAGAGGATTAGACACATTGTACTTTATCTAAACTTTCTCACTCTAAAGAGGCTTTCTCTCACTATGACAAACACTTAATTGACCATCGGAGGAGGGTTCCTCGAGACACCTCCGAGAGCAATCACGTACGCTACTTTGCAGGTACATTTAGTGGGACCCAATCAAGATTTACCCACCACCACCGGGACCACGCCTGGAACAACTCCCTCGGTATTCTTTCAAGTGAAACACTTTTACATTTTGCACTATTCACCTAATTCATTTTGACTAATGTTTATAATATAATATATGAGAAGAAATATATATAATCTTGTGGGTACTTGTTAAAATTGCTTTATTAAATAGTTTATTAATATTCTATTATTATAAAAATAATTTATTTATTAGAGTTCATCTATCAGCCAAGGTTTGAAGCTTTACTTGCAATAGGTGCACCACGGCGATCTTGAATGACCATTGAAACTTAATTTCATAATTACCGGGGAGGACATACATATAACCCAAATAGACTCTTTAAGGCTTGTTTGGCATTGTTTTCTATTTTAAATTTTCTATTTTTTTTTAAAAACAAAAAATCAAAAACAGGAAATAAGAAAAAGGTATTTCCAGTTTCCACTTTTCAGTTGTCAATTTTCTAAATTATCATGATTTTAATAAGTTTGACTAATTTTTAATTCATCATATGTAGAGCTGATCATATGTAGCCTGACCTGATTTTGGGCGGGTTTTGGGCAGCCTTATCTGGCTCGGCCGATTTTTCAAAAAAAAATTGGGCGGGTTTGGGAAGACATTTTAATGCGAATTTAATTGATTTTTTTGGCCTGGCGCAGCCATTTTGGGCGGGTTTGGGCACAAAATTTTCAGCCCGAAGTTTGGCCCAACTCGAGAATTGGGCAGAAATTTTAGGCCTTAGCCCAGCCCAGCCCGCTCAATAATCACCTCTAATTATATGATATATCATATGATTTTGTAAAACAAAAAACCAAAAACCACAGCGATACCAAACGAATCTTTAGAAATTGGATTAAAATATCGATTCTAAGTGGACATAAGACTATAAGAGTTCCATTCTATAAGAATAAAAAAATCTATTTGAAAAACAAATAAACTATTGGTGTATTGTTACAGAGAATATTTTTCTGGATTTCAATGTACTCCATAAAAAGGGAAATAACTTTAGTGAATGATCTATCAAAATTGATTCTTATGGATCAAAATAGGTCAAAATTATCATCATATAATTATATTGTTACCACTTTAATTTAGGATTTTTTGACTTTATCATCAAAAAAATCAAAAAATTGTTTTATACCACCAAAACTTCTAAAACCTTTTATTTTACCATCAAAAAAAATTTTAAAAATTGTTTTTACCACATACCATCAAGACAACCGTTAAATTTAACAGTTTAAAAAAAATTCTTCAATTATCGTGCGCAAAGCATGTTCTTCATAGGCTTAGGGGTCATTTTGGCCCTACGAGTCTAATTTGAGGTTAGAATTCACAAAAAATGATCGAAAATGCCTCGTTTTGCGTGTTTTACGCAAATCGAGGTATTTTTAAGTAGGAAACACGAGCCATTTACGATCATTTTTTGTCAATTCTAACTTCAAATTGGATTCAAAGGGCCAAAATGCCCCCTAAAACCCCTAAAGACCATGTGTTTGGCACGAAAATCGAAGAATTTAAAAAATTTTGTTAGGTTTACCAGTATTTTTGACGGCAGGTGGTAAAAAATAATTTTTTTTTTATTATTTGTTTGGTGGTAAAATAAAAGTTTTAGAAATTTTGGTGATAAAAAACAATTTTTTGATTTTTTTTTTTGTAGTAAAAGTCTAAAATAACCTTTAATTTATAACAGATGCACTATTCTAGACACTAGGGTGAGGAGACGATTTAAAGATGTTCTCTTTGTCTCAAATTAGTTATACACTTATCATGACACATAATTTAAAGTGATAAGTTGTCTTTTTAGTTAATACGGAGTAATGATATATTATTAGAAAAGTAAATGTGAAAAGAGATAATGGGGGTACCAAAAATTGATATTTTATGGAAAAGTAGATGTGAAAATATGAATGAAATAATGGGGTACAAGTAGATGTAATAGAAGATGATGGGATCCTTCCTATTGGGGGGGGGGGGGGGGGGGGGGGGGGGGGTTGGGGGGGATCAGCATTTCTATGTAGTTTAAATTAACCCAAGGAGGTTATCAGAAACATGACATTAACATTGGCTTCGCACTATATACCTCAAAATTTGCTAAAGACGGTCAGGTTAGCTAGCCTAAGACAATAGAGATCAATAGTAACTGCAGTGTTGGTTTTGGGTATGGAACGTAGCTATGGTGTACGAGGTTTAGTCTCATAATATTGTGGACTTGTGGAGTATGCCAGTATAGTGATGAACTATGAGAACCTTTACCGACCAAAAAGCACTGGATCAGTTCATCTGCTAATCCCACCACAACAAACCGGCTTTCACGTTGCTGTAATAAGCCACTTGGCTTGCATCAACACTAAAACTTCAGTCGACTTTTTAAAGCTGATAAATTGCCTATGAAGAAGGCCAAACCAATGGGGAATTAACTGTTGTACACTCAAATTGGCTCGTGAAGCATTTAGCCAAGATCTACTCGTCAGAATTATTAGTACGACCGTGTCCATGGTTCACCTCTTAAGAATGAGCATTTCACCATAAAAAATCACAGTGACTCTACCATGAACATGGTTGGTACGAGTTTTCCTTTCAAAAATATGTTCTACTTTAGGACTTATGGCAATCTAGTAGATGTCTAAAATCAAAATTCTACTTCACAAACAAAACATTAAACCCTCTGAAAGTTTGTGTTGCAAAACCTAGATGCTTAGAAATATGCATGACCCAATCAAAGCTACATAAGGTAGAGCATAGTTCCTTGTGAAAAATCCGGAATCACAGACCTGTTAGTAAGACACACCAAAGCACAGGTATTTGTGCTAAGCAATGGTTCTTTGGCAATAGTTGTAACAAATAGAGTCCCATCCCTAATACAAGATATATGCACATAAAACACAAAATACTACACCGGAAACATAACCTTCTATGATCAACTTAATAAGATAGAAGTTGCACTGTCAATGAGCTCCCCTGGCACCAGCGTATACACCTTTGCAATAAGCGATTCTACTTCCCTCTCCAATCAAAGAATCATTTACTTGCATTCCGCAGGCGTTCAATCAGCTCATCCTACAAAAGGTGATAATCTCAGCATGCATAACATAAGCGCAAAAAAAAAAAAAAGGAAAGAGAGCCTGATAGGCTTCCTCAGCAGTCAGCACCATGATGACCAAACTCACCATACTACATGATGCACAACAGAAGACAGCAATAAGGTTACCAACAGAAGCAACTAGACTAATTTGGCTAACCCAAGGCCAAAATACAACATTAAACCAAAAGAATGTCGAAGACCCTAAAACTACAAGTACCACATTCTAAAGTAACAGTGTGTTTGGATAAAGAAAGAGGAAGGAAAAGAAGGAGGGAGGAGAAGAGAAGGGGAGGGAGGAGAAGAGGAGGGGAGGGAAGAATGGTGAGTTTTCCTTCCAAATCTCTCCATTGTTGGAGGGATCATTTTCCTACAATTTAATCCCCCCATTTCTCTCCCCTCCAATTCCCTTCCTTCCTCATTTGTTATCCAAATGAAAGATATCATATCTCTCCATTTCCCTTCCCTTCCTTTCTCTCCATTTCCTTCAATCCAAACACACCGTAAAGTGCTCAGCCAAGAGAAATGGAGTGAAAAAGAAATGAGAGGGGAAAACAGGATAACTGCAAGTCAAACAAGTGAGAAGTTTGCAAAGGAGATTATTTGGAAAGTAAAATAAGAACTATTCCATATGCAATAAGCAATGTCACTTGCCTTCTTCCCTTTGGAAGAAAGTCCTTTTTCCTTCAGAAGTGCCCGAAGCCTCTCCACAGTCAGACCCTGAAAATTTCTATCTGCAGCACGACTACTCGATGCACCTGCAATGGATAGGTAAGATATCAGAAATGCTTTGTGATAAAACTTTACAAACTGAGGTAAATCTTTAAATTAAGAATTAAAAAGAACAAATTGTTTTGCAGACTTGTTTCTCCAATTATCTCCCACCACAACATCAACCACAGATATGAGAAATCCATTGAACTACTGAACATGAAATAAAGCCACAATAGGGACTGTCTGCTTTGTTTTTCACTTTTTCAGTACCTCCCCACTAGACCACTCTGCCCACCAAGCAAGGAAAGCTAATAATACTCTATATTTTACGAAGGATATTTTCACACGTCATATGACTACATTAATAAAGAGGACTTAATCTTAGTACTTGTATAAGGTATGGTCTTTGGTTTACTCCAAAATTTGATAGTTTTTTTTTTTTCAAATAAATGGGCACTAATTAAATAAGGAAGCCTAAAAACCTTATCTGAAAACTCCTCCAAAAAGGTTCTCTTGAATAAAAATCTGAACTTGGTCCTCCAAATCCTCATCCTCCCATGGCCCCAGCTCTTACTTCCCTCATCCCCAACACCCTGCGGAGAAGCCTCCATTGCCAATTGGCCATTGCTAGGAAGCCTAATAATTGATGTTTAACAATTGAGCTTTGCTAAAAGCCTAGAAGAAGCCTAACAATTGGCCCCCCTGCCCACATATTCCATTGCAAAATGCAAGGCTTCAGAGAAATAACATGATCCCAACATATAGCTCACCTATAAACCGTAAGATTAGGCAAGGATGGGGGTGTTTAACCAAGGGTGTCCCTATGATAACTATTTTGCTACTGTGCCCAGATTCATGGTGTCAAAGTCTGCATCTAGTCAGTGTGGCAAGCACTGATCATGTCTGGGCACAAAGTGTCGAAAGATAAATCACTAATGAATAAGACCATTACAGGGTGGATCCTGATACTATATGTTTATTTCAAGACAGAGCAGTGGGCTCTTTGTACATTAGGATAAACAGTTAGATGAGTAAAAGCTTAGAGATCAAAATGTTATTTAGGTATGCATCAGAGTAAAGGTGAAAAAATTTTACATTCCCCTTATCAAAGGCATCCTCACAATGGAACCAAGAATAATAATAAGATAAAAAATTTATATTCCCCTCACCATGGAACCAAGAATATTTCAGTTATTATTTGAAGAATGGGTTGGATCTTCATACCAAAAATCAGAATATATAAAATTCTAGATTTCCAAGTGCTGTAGGTCCTGTAACTATTTAGCTCAAAATAAGTGCTTAGTTGATGTTTCAAAATGAGATGATGTCTTACAGGCAAAAAGGGTTAATGGATTGGAAAGATAATTGTTTCCGGACACCATCACAGGATTTAGATGCAAGGCTATATTCACTCCAAACATCCACATCCTAACCACCATTATTCAACCATTGCTAGCACAATACACTCAGGCAGAATCCAGTATTATCAGTTATTTGACTTTTACACTCACCTGAAACCCCAGATCACTAAATGATTCCGTGTTCAATTTTAACCCTTTTTTTTTAACAAGTAGGATTAGAAGAATATTTAAGCCATGGTGGGCAGAACCCTGAACCAATATTATTTTTTCTTTATATATTTTAACGCAGCACTATACTCTTAATTAGCCCTCCAGAAACTTCAATATATGTTCAAAGTTTCCTATTCATCCTCAACCCTAAACCAAAATCTCATACCGATTTGAGATATTGGGGTCTAAGTACTAGTTGCAGGCCTTGCAGCAATTTATCTTGCAACAACCTTATATAGATAATTTATTCCTAAAATATTGCTGACACAATGGAACTTTTATGTGGCTGACAACTCCAGAGGTTACCTGTCTGACTGTCTGCTCAGTGCTCACTTGGTGCTGTATTAACTTTCTTAAGCTTTAATTGCTGAATTCAGACAAACTACAAATTGGACAAACATCTGTACTTTTCCAATTGTCTTGATACCTTAACATCAGAGTTCAGGACTACGCAAAGCACGTAAATAAATTTCTGAGCTCATCAACTCATGCAAATTGCCCAAAATAGGTAAATTAAAAAAGGATTTAAAAAAGGGCTCCATATTTATAAATAATAATACTAGTACAACCACCCTTTGTATTAAGTAAGGCTCTGTATTTAGTAAGGCAACTGAGTTCCCACAATATATATATATATATATATATATATATATAATATAATATATATATATATATATATATATAATATATATATATATATATGAGTCCATCCAAGCAATATACAGGCCAATATTAAAAGCAAATTGTGTGATTTGTGCCACCCTGTTACCATGGTTATCAGGTTATGAACGCAACAGCAATTTCAAATTATGGAAGAATACTAATTAATACTTCCTCCGTTCCAAATTAAATGACAAAGTTCAATTTGTCACACTTTTAAGAAGGGGTGGCAAAGAAAGAGAAAATACACAAATACCCTTACCCAGTACCCACTACCCATACACTTGACTCATTTGCCACAGCACGTACAAGTATGACAGACACTTGGGTTGATAGCCACCCTGTACTATTGCTGCCTACTTTAGGGACCAAGAGCATGTGATTGCGTGCATAGGAAGGAATGTGACATCTTATGAACCAAGTGGAAGATAGCCAACTAAAAGAGAGCAATTTGTATAATAGAATTAGAGCGTGACTGCGTGAGAATCCCAAGTCTATCATTCAGTAGGTAGTTTTTTTGAAGCATAGAGGTGACACTGGTGACTCGTCCACACTCAGTAATGTTTCTTATAACTTAACAAGTAAATGACAAACATACATAATTCCACAAAACCTTGAAGCATCCAGAGCTCATATAAAAATATGGATGCCATTTGAATCAGATATGGCTGCTAAACTTAAACAAGTACTATAAATTGAGACTTGCAAGATGCTAGTCTTCTTAAACCAACTTATGAGGTAGGTGATGAGCAATGACACTAGGACATAGGTGCTACCTCCTTTCCGTTTTATTCTTCACACTTTCCTTATAAGTCTGTATTTTTAGTTCTTTACACTTATAATCTATTCCATTTTTGGCAATGACTTTTTACACTTTTACCTCCCTTACCCCAAAAAAAAAAAAAATTTACATATAATAAATACTTTTTGCCCTCGTGCTTATTTTGCCACTTACTACCCCCCACTTTTTCACTATCTTTCCCTCTTTTTTCTTGATTCTTGTGCAAACAGTAACTATCAAAAACATTAAGGAACAAATGATATACTATTGATTGAGTAATCAATTATCAAATAAGGACTGTGTTTCCTTGACTAACATTGCAGGTTGTAAGACTTGGAAGGCATGAATTAGATAAAGAACACTTCATAGGGATGATTAGATGAAGATAGTGAAAGAGTTTTGACTTTCTATGGTAAAAATACAGTGTTATAGCAAGAAACTAGCATTTGTACACACTTGTGCCTAAACCGAGGATTAAAAATATAGGAAGGGAAATTCTGGAATGTATAGATAGACATGAATCATTTTAGACATTAGTTTGATTGAGAAGAGGTTTAAGTTAATTCTTGAACCTACAGCAATCCTTTCCATTTCCTCTTTTATCACCCCTCCCCCCTCAAAAAAAAAAACTGAAATAAAGTTGGGATGATCACTTAAATCAATGAACCCAACGCCACAAAAATGCAAAAAAAGGTATGTCTAAATAATACTTGTATAATTTAAAAAGAAAGTTAAAAAAAAAATTATACAAAGCCTAACATTAGTACTAGTAACATAATTGTAGCCATAAAGAATTATAACAGCATCCTGTTATTAAAGAAGCCTCCGGCCAGCAGGAAATGTAAAACAATAGCATTTCAAACCTCGGCAGGATTAAGGTTCATCATATAAGAAGATGCAACTAGATGGCTAAACACTAAGTATTACTACTCCCGTTTCTTAAGTTCTATAAAAATTACTGTTCATGTAATGGTGAAAGATATTTGCCTTTTTCTGGTCTGGTGTGGCCTGAATCTTTATAATCTGGTCTGGTCTGGTCTTGTCTAACTTAGATTAAGAGCACTAAGCCTAAATCAGAATTTGATGTTGTATAGTATCAAAGTTGTTAATCAGGTAAGGAAAAAAAAATGTTACTTCGCAACCTAGCTAACACCACTTACCCTTATTCTGACTACCAGTCATTGCCCTTTTCGCTGAAGCCCTTCCATCAGCAGATCTATCAGAAGCTCTGCACATGCAAATTAACAGTGCAATCAATTATTTTTAGTTCCCCCACAAAGTTCCAACATATACAAAGATAGGACCAAAAAATTTGAACAGATAGAATGAAGTTTATATACATCCACACCCCCAAAAAAAGCCTGACATACTCTTTCAATCAATCACAAGAAAAATCGAATAAAATCATGCACATGAGAAAATAACTAAGCTAGAGGATAAAATGGGAAAGAGAGAAAACCTCTTTCTTGAGCCATCAGTCACTTCACCCTGTTGCTTCTTCAAAGTAAGTGATCTGATCAATATGTTCATCTGATCCGTCTTTATTACTTGGTTCTCTGCATAAACAAAATTCATGACCCACTTCTTAGTCAGTTAGTACCTATATCAGTCATGGAGGAAAAGCATAAGATCTCAATGTATAAAGCTTATAGAAGCAGATAAATTAGAAACTAAAACAGTTCGAAGGAAAGTCTCATAATGGAGACCACATATTCTAGACTAGAAAACCCTCAAACGGAACTCGAGACCATGTAACCCCCCCCCCCCCACCCCAAACTACACCACCTCCAACATCCAATTTATTAATCTATTATAATAACAAATAATAATGAAAAAAAATAGGAAAAAGGGTTTGCTTGATCAGATGGAAAAAAATATTACGTAATAATAATTGGGCTATTTCAAACTCATTCCTAGATTCAGACTGGTTTCTGTCAGGAGAATAGGGAAGAAAGAGGGGGGAGAGAAAGAGAGAGGGGTGTTGTTAACCCCTCAAACCACTTGGTGCTGCTATTATTTAGGGGAGCAGTACAGTAACAGGTGCAGTGTATCTACCAGTGGTCTTCTCTGAAGGCAGGAAGAGGGAAGGGCAACAATAGCACCCCAATTTTGAAGTACGGTATAATCTCTTAATTTAAAATTTGTGGTATAGTCAATTTGAAATATAATCAAAACACACCAGTTTGATCAATTCAACTTCATTTGATGTACAGCATGTACCTGATCAATAAATAAATTAATCTTAAAATCAAACGCATCAGTTTGGTCATATTCATCAGTTATCACAATGTACATGAAAAACGAAAAGGCTCATTAGCACCATTAATGCCTCTCAATAACAGTGCATTTGGATGAGAGAAATTTAGAGAAAAAGCAGGGAGTGAAAGTGGGAGGGATCTATATCCCTTATTTGGATATGGAATTGGGAAAGGAAAAGGAAAGGAATTCAAAAGCATCAATTTTCTTCCCCTTTTAGTAGATAACATCATTCCACTACAGGAAAGACTTGGAAGAAACTTGGAAACACCCTACATCCCTCCATGCACCTCCCCTTTCTCTCCCCTCCCCCCCCCCCCCCCCCTCTTCTTTCCCTCACAAGTTGTACTAAAGACACTGTAAATGAAAGAGTTTGGAACAACGCAGCAGCGCCAGAATATGATTGTTCAAAAATACATGATATCAGCGAATAATTTACTGTACTTCACAGTAGTTTTAGGTAACTGAGATATCCAATCCCAAAGAAACATTTTCCTATTTAATTTTCGTAAACAAAAGCAATCAAGGTCTACAAATTACAAAGCTGGGCACCTCTAAAATATTATAAAGAACACCATGACTTGCTTCCTCTAAATTTACCAATACCTCACAACCATAAATGTAAATTATTATAATTCATTCATTTTAAACAATACAGTTAAAATGCAAAAGAACAAAAGCACCACAGGCCTTCAATCTTAAGTTCATGAAATTCAAAGGTGATTTTAATTTTGATCTGTTAAAAAACACAGGAAAAAATTGTTAGGACTTGGATTAAAAAAGAGAATTCCAGAGAAATACAGAGAAGAGAAATAGCTTAAGTAACCGATATTTGTATTGAAGATTAGTGTAATCAGCAATACAATCTCCCTTCTTTCGAGAGGAAGGAAATCTCTCCCAAGTGTTTACTACAATATTTTTTGCATAACCTCCCACAAAGCATTTCTCCTATTTATTAAAAGATTCCTCTCAACAAACTAACAGACTTAGGTAAATAACAAACTAGCAGTGAATTACTAAATTGCCCCCAAAGGTTAACAAACTCCATAACTGATTATTCCAGCTCATCCATCAAGTTGGTGCTGAACCTGGTTTAGCTTTCCTGTGAGCATATGTAAATTGTATAGCAGGCCTGGGCTGATTATTGGGCTGGTTCCTTGCAATACCCCCTTCCCAAACCTTCACCTTGTCCTCAAGGTGGAAGAGGGGAAACCTGCAGTCCACCTCTGTGAAAATCTCCCAAGTAGCCTCAAACTCTGGCAACCCCTCCACTTGATTAAAACTTCAGTGGCAGCCTGAGTAGTCCTGACCCCAAGCACTGCTTCAGGCTCAACTTCAAGTACCAAGTCAGATGTGAGCTGAGCAGGCAGAGGAGTAGCCTGCTGTCCCGTACCTATAGCCTTCTTGAGCTGGGAAATGTGAAATACCGGATGAAGCTTAGCAGCCGCAGGAAGATCCAGTCGATATGCCACTTCCCCCACCTTTTGCACTACTGGATAAGGCCCATAGTAACGCGAAGAGAGTTTCTCATATCTCCTCTTAGCCAATGGTTGTTGTCTATAGGGCTGGAGTCTCACATAAACCATGTCACCCACCTGAAAGGAACCCTCCCTTCTGCTTTTGTTCTCATGTTGCCTCATATACACCTGAGCCTGCATGAGATGAAATTTCAGATCATCCAAAATGGCATCTTGCTCCAGCAACTGGTCTTCTAGTGAGGAGACATTGGTGCTGCCAGGGGTAAAACGCAACAAGTGTGGTGGTTCTCTCCCATATACTGCCTTAAACGGAGTACAATTAGTAGCCGTATGATAAGCCGTGTTGTACCAATATTCAGCCCATGGCAGCCATGTAGCCCAAGTCTTGGGTTTGCCATTGACAAAGCAACGCAAGTAGGACTCAACACCTTTGTTTACAACTTCCGTTTGTCCGTCGGACTCAGGGTGATAGGCTGTGCTTCTTCGCAACTGTGTACCTTGGAGCTTAAACAATTCGGACCAGAATATACTCAGGAAGATCTTGTCCCTGTCAGAGACAATAGTGGAAGGAATCCCATGGAGTCGTACTATCTCCTTTGGAAAACTCTGAGCTACAGTCTGGGCTGTGAACGGGTGTTGTAAGGGTATAGAATGGCCGTATTTGGAGAGTCTATCCACCACTACAAGTATCGAGTCCCACCCCAAAGACTTGGGTAAGCCTTCAATAAAATCCATTGATATGTCCTCCCAAACCTTGTCCGGAATGGGCAAGGGCTGTAGCAACCAGAGGGGAGAAAGAGTGGATGCCTTATTTTGCTGGCAGACATGGCAGCGTTTGACATAGTCAGTGACATCCTTTCTCATGCCCTCCCAATACCATTCTCCTGCTAATCTTTGATATGTTTTGAGATCTCCTGCATGTCCACCAACAGGTGAATCATAGTACTCTTTAAGTAATCGACCTAGTCAGCTCAGACTTTTCTCGGGACTACCACTCGACCTTTGTACTTCAGAACCTCGTTCTCCAGGGTGAACCATTTAGGAGCTGCTTCCCCATTGCGCAACTGAGAGGTCAGCCGCTGCAGTGCCTGATCCTTTACAATGAAACCATGGATAAACTCCCAAATTAGCCCACAAGAGGTGACTAAAGCAGAACACTCCGGGGAGGATTGGCGGGACAAGGCATCAGCCACTTTATTAGATGGTCCTGGTTTGTAGTGAATATCAAACGTGTATCCTAAAAACTTACTCACCCACTTCTGATAGGCTTGCCCCACTTCTCTTTGTTCCAACAAGAACTTCAAACTTTTCTGATCGGTTCGCACCACGAATTGATAATGCCGCCACTTCTCTATTGCAAACACAATTGCCATTAACTCCTTTTCGTAGATGGGTTTTGTTCTTGCACGCAAACCCAATACCTTGAGCAATCGGGTGAACTCCCTGTAGCAACACAGCCCCAAGGCCATGGCCTGATGCATCTGTCTCCACAACAAAAGGGCGAGAGAAATCAGGCATAGCCAAGATAGGAGCCCGGGTCATGGCTTCCTTCAAAGTTTCAAATGCCTGAGTAGCCTCATGAGACCAACCCCAGCATTCTTTTTTAAGCTGGTCTGTCAAAGGTCGCGCAATCATGGCATACTTCTGAATGAACTTCCTGTAATAACCTGTGAGTCCCAAAAAACCTCGAAGCTCTCTGAGGTTAAGAGGTACAGGCCACTCTACCATTGCTTGGATCTTTGTTGCATCAACCTCCACACCTGCTGCTTAGATTATATGGCCCAAGTATGCCACACGCTCCTTCCCTATTTCACATTTTTTAAGGTTGGCGTAAAGCTGATGTGAAGCCAAGGTTACCAGGACTTGCTGCAAGTGGCTCTTGTGTTCTGCCATAGTCTTGCTGTAAACTAATATGTCGTCAAAGAAGACCAAGACGAACTTCCGAAGAAATGGTCTGAAAACTTCATCAGCGACTGGAACGTGGCAGGGGCGTTCGTGAGGCCGAAGGGCATTACTAAGAATTTGTAATGCCCTTCATGGGTTCGGAATGCGGTCTTATGGACATCCTCCTCCCTGACCCGGATCTGGTGGTAACCAAATTTGAGGTCCAGTTAGTGAACACCGTTGCCCCATAAAGTTCATCCAATAATTCGTCAATTACGGGGATCGGGAATTTATCAGGCACAGTTTCTTTATTCAGAGCCCTGTAATCAACGCAGAAACGCCACGATCCAACTTTCTTTTTGACCAACAAAACAGGACTAGAAAACGCACTAGTAGAGGGCTGAATTATACCTGCTCTAAGCATGTCTTTCACCGGTTTTTCAATTTCATCTTTCTGGTATTGTGGAGACCAGTAAGGCCGAACACTGATCGGATTGGCTCCACTTTTCAAGACTATGGCATGGTCGATCTTCCGTTGAGGGGGCAAACTATCTGGCATGTGAAAAACCTGCTGGTATTGAGTAATTAAGGGTCTGAGATCCTCTGGTGTGTGCGGCTCCTTCCCCTCTGAACTCTCAATTTGATTTAGCTCCAACACAATTCCATGTCCCTCCTTCTGTATCGTTTTCATCATAGCTTTGAGCGTTATGCAAGTGCGCCCAACCTTAGGATCCCCTCTCAGAGTCACCGAGTCTCCCCCAATCTGAAACTTCAGCGTTTGGGTCTTCGAATTGGAGGAAATCGTCCCCAATTTTTCGAGCCACTAAATTCCCAGAATAACATCCGAATTGCCCAGGGGAAGAGCAAGAAAATCCTCAACGATTGTAACTCCTTGTAACTCCAACAGTACTCCCACACACACTCCTTCCCCTAGTACGGCAGCCCCGGCACCTAAAGTAACTCCAAAACCCCTTGATTCAGTATTGGGAACTTGCAATTGTTGCGCGGTAGTCGAGATAAAATTATGGGTTGCTCCCGGATCTACCATTACTACCACCTTGCCTCCATTAATCACGCCCTCCAATCGCATCGTTTTAGGGCTGGTGCCCATGACAGAGCTCGGGGACACCTCTGGGTTTGGATTTATGGGTAATTCCATGGTGGGTTTAAGGTTTCGACCACGGCGAGCTCCCCTGGATCCTCCAGCTCTTCGTCGTCATCGTCCACCGTGAGGACACTTAATTCTCTGCGCCGACAACGATGGTTGAGAGTCCATTTATCGTCGCAGCGAAAACACAATCCCTTCTCACGCTTATCCTGAAGTTCCTTTTCGCTCAGCCTCCTTATCTCTCCTAACGGGTTTAGTGGTGGTGGTGTTAGGGTGGTTTGTGCTTCGGTTCAGGTAGTAATTTGATGAGGTGTGGGTTGAATTGTTTGGGTGGGTGGAATAATTTTTCTGAGTTGGGTTTGGGGTTCTCCAGCTGGGTAGCCCACTCACTCCTTTGGGCCTTGGGCTTAATTTCATTTTCTCCTCACCCTCATAGAGAGTTCCATAGCATGATCTAGTGTGTGTGGGTTTAGGATCCGGACTTCGACCTGTATCACTTCTCTTAACCCGTTAATATATTGCCCCATGGCAATTTCTTCTGGAACACCATCAATAGGTGCTATCAACTCCACAAAACAACGACGGTATTACGCCACCGAACCGGTTTGCTGGTGAGCTAACCATTGTTCGTGCAACGTTTCGGTGGCCGTCGAACGAAATTGACGTAACAAAAGCTGTTTCACATCGACCTACCTCGTCAAAGGCCTACGATGATGTTCCCATTGATACCACAACAACGCATCTCTGTCAAGGGCCACCACTGCCGCCTCCAACTGGTCATCATCACTTAACCTGTAAAAATGAAAGAGTCTCTCCACTCGGAGAATCCATCCATCTAGGTTCGTACCATCAAAAATTGGTAAGTCAAGCTTCCTCAACTTCCAATTTGACCATCCTCTGTTGTAGCCATCATCTTCAAATCCATCATCTCCGCCAAGTGGCGTGGGTCGTCGCACCCCCAAGATCGATGAATAAGGTTGATCATCGAAGACAGAAGTCATCAATTCTTCTCGTATCTTCTCCTGCTCTTCCCGGAGGTTTGCAACTCTCCCGTCGAACTTCAGGGATAAAACTGATAACTCTGTCTTCATCTGGACAGCCTGCTGCTCAAAACCCACAGTTAGCTGAAAAGCCAAGTCGGTTTTGGAGCAGCCATAGCTGCTGCAACCTCTTGAGCAACCTTACTTGACAATCTGGAGATTTTATTGCTCTAATACCAACTTGTTAGGACTTGGATTAAAACAGAGAATTCCAGAGAAATACTGAGAAGAGAAATAGGTTAAGTAACCGATATTTGTAGTGAAGATTAGTGAAATCAACAATACAATCTCCCTTCTTTCGAGAGGAAGGAAATCTCTCCCAAGTGTTTACTACAATATTTTTTGCATAACCTCCCACAAAGCATTTCTCCTATTTATTAAAAGATTCCTCTCAACACACTAACAGAATTAGGGAAATAACAAACTAGCAGTGAATTACTAAATTGCCCCCAAAGGCTAACAAACTCCATAACTAATTATTCCAGCTCATCCATCAAGTTGGTGGTGAACCTGGTTTAGCTTTCCTGCGAGCATATGTAAATTGTATAGCAGGCATGGGCTGATTATTGGGCTGGTTCCTTGCAAAAATATTTTATGTAAATGAAAAGGATCAGTTTGAATCAGAAAAGCCTAATTGGGTCTGATAAAATTAGGTGAAGAAAACAGGCTTTCTTGCCTCTAAGTCTATCCATAATGAATTGCAGATAAAATGAATTTTACTGATGAGAAAAAAAATTTAAAAAATCAGGTACATCAAAACAAAATCAAGAATTCTCTTGAACATCAATGAGTTAGTACCAGTCATGTCTATTATTTATTAGGCCTAAGTCTGGAAAACCACCATTTAGAACATGAAAAGTCATGGGACATGACTGAATACAAAGGCTACATAACACATCAAAAAAAGACTTGACTGCAATGAAGATACCAAACAAGAAAGAACAGAAAGGAGGCTACCTAGAGAAATTTGAAACTTAATGAGTAAGCCCTATCTCCGAGAAAGAACTAAAGAAGATCTACAAATACAATAATTAGCTAAATTTGTAAATAAAATTGTCAAATCAACAAGAACATAACAAGGAGACAGGGATGAGATTTAAATATGAGGATTATTCCGTGTACTTGTAATCTTGTATCATATGACCGTGTATGGCTGTACACAGAAACTGTGGAGCTAACATTCGATGCCAAAGTGCCAATTAGTCATGGATAGAATGTCATTAGGATCACCACATGGGAGATACCAACTGAAAGTGGCAAAAGAGAGGAAATTACCCAAATAACACACTGTATTAGAGAGCTAAAAAGCCAATACTGTTTTCCATCAACAAATTCGTAAATTCGTAACAGTCTAGCAGATAAAAGAAACCATGTCAAAGTATGTATATCTACATCATGCAAGTCATGACATCAGGCTAATAAAAAAAAATCTAAAGCAGACCTGGGGGTGCTGTATCATGATCACAGATGTAAATTCGCATGCCACCCTGCAAAAAAGTTTCAATGCATGAGTAAGAATCCTATGCAACAATTTCAAATAATTGGGAATTCTAAACATTACATCCCTACTTTTCACAGTTCTATTTGGTAGACCATTTAGTTTTTAAAGCTAAACGGCATCCCATACTCTTTGAAGTCCCCACTTCTACATTAATTTCCTCACTCCCTCTCAACATTCCCACCTTATACATTATGGCGGCCATCCCCTCCCACCACGACAAGCTCCCTTTTTCATTCCCTCAATTATTGAAAATCATGGATAGAAAGCTAAGCTCCAATATTTAAAGTTAAACACTATCCCTATACGTAAGAAGAAATTCACATGCACCAAGTAAACCAATATTTTTAATAGATAAAGCCTTGATTTATACTTCTAAATTTAAACAACTCTCATGAGAGAGAGAGAGAGAGAGATGATCTCTCACCAGGAGATTGAGCACAAACTTGTTAAAAATACTGTCAATTATAAAATGAAGCTCTCAAACATTTTGTGGATACTATACATCCAAAAATAAATCCATATAGACAAGAAAGTGGACAGAGATGTTGCGAAAATCTAAATTTAATAAAAATAGCAAGAAGAGACTACAATTTGTCTGATAATTTTTTTTTATTAAAAAACAGATAATAACAAGGATATGGACTAGAAATTAAAAATAATAATAATAAGTAAAAATCACCCTACCCCATAGAAATTTAAATTTTAATTATAAAGCTGCAATTTGGATATACATATCCCAATAACCATCTAGATAATGGGTTAAATCCAAATTCCTTGAACCTTCTTTGTTCATGTTTAGCACTATCTTGTACACTTTCCTTTGTCAAACTATCGACTATATAAAATTTATCATTTAGCTTATTTCACCATATAGACTAGATTATGAGCAGATATACAAACGAGTTGTTAGGTTTAAGTGTGGGATGGGTCTACTCCAATAGGATAATAATCCGGTAAGAAGGTTTTTAGGTAGGGTCAGCCACGTCAGTTTTGCCAAGTATAATCATGGACAATAATTCCCTAACAAACCAAAATCACCGAACGTGTAGATGACCCGATTTAATTGTCCTATTTTCCACCTCCAGAAAACCTACAAGGGACTGTAGGAAGCCTTAAGTAAAAAGAGGGCCCTCAGGTGGGGTCTACACAGTTGAGTATTGGTGCCACAATTTGTTGTGCTGTCACATTACTCACATGTCCTTAATTGAAAGAGCCAATATAGACGTCAACACTAATAATCTTTCCTTAATTATTCTCAAACACTATAAAGACGCAAAAATTAATAAATCTTAAAAATCTAGAAAAAGAAGAAGAATGGTACTTCTTGAGGTACTTCTTAAGAGTTCACTTGCCACTACACACTGGGTATTTATCCAATAGTTCAGTAGTTTGATGGACAGAACAAGCAATGGATCCTCAGTTTTTCCTCTCAATTGAAACATCACTCATATCTTCTTTCTGTCCAATCTAACATAAAACAATATGAGCACCTATTCGTGTCTTAGTAGTAAAAAGTATAGACATTTTGGTAAAGTGAAAGAATTTATATTCTTCGAAGTTGATATTATTAATACATTTAGCTGTTGTCAACAAGTCATAGTATACATACCAAAACAATCTCCTCAAAGCAATGACATCTGAAAATCAGACATGGGTCTAATACCAAAAAAAATCTTCTTATAATATGCAGCCAAGTCGATGTTTAGATCTAAATTCACAAGCCTTTAGTGCCAAAAGACATCTAATGCATGATAACATACTTAGCAACACTTCAGTGGAATATCAGTAAAAATAGAAATTATAGAATAAACATTTCCAACATTTCCAATAAAGTTTCTTCTAAAATTCAGTTCATCAACGATGGCATGCATCGCAAGATTTCGTAATTAAATGAAACCACTATCTTGTCATATCATCATTTCAAGCAAAAGACACCTATGATGGAATAAGAGTTACTTTTCATCACACATTCTCAAGTACGCCATACATTCAAAGACCAAACAACTTCATCATAAAAGTTTTTAAATGCTCAAAATTTGTAAATTTAAATATACTTTCCCCTAGATAATAACCCAATTGCAACATACAAAACTGAAAAATCAAATGCATTAAATCAAGACATAATCAGCAACAACTAGAAAATCCATTGACAATGCACATCAATTAATTACCCCACAAAAAAATTGCAAGCAATCAACAAACTTCAATTGAAGCAAATTAACCAGATTAAGCAACGAAATGCTGATCAAATTTTAATTTTTTTTTTTTTTCTGGTTTTGAATAGTGGTGATCAAATTCAAAACACTACCAACTTCAAAATCAAAATGCAATCCCAAAAAATCATATAAAAATTAATACAACATTCATTTTAAAAAATTGAAAAATTAGGGCTAATTAAAGTGAAGGACATGGAAATAATACCAAATTAGAAGAAGAAACGGCGGTAGAAGAGAAGAGGCCGCGAGAAGGGAGGTCGGAGAGGAAGCTGGCAGCGGTGGCGGTGGTGGTCGGAATGGAATCAGACGGCGGCAGTGAGGCAGAAGAAGAACCCTCCTCCATTGTGGGCGCACCTTTTGGAATCAAAGGCTTGGATTTGCAGTGACGATGCAACATTAGGGAGCCTATATACGCGGACCGTCGGCGCGCTATTTGCCAAGGGAGAGGAGAGCGCAGTAAAACTGTCACTTTTGGGGGGATTTTGTGTTGTGCCGTGGTAAATTTAGCATAGACTATTGTAAGACCAAACTTTGACCATCGAGAATTGCGGGAGAAAATACAAGTTTATTATCTTTATAAACTAAAAATGCATTATTTCAAACAAATAAAAGAAAAAAAAAAAAAAAAACCTAAAAATGCAAATTAAGTAGCAATTTGGGAGTTAAAAGGTAATAATTAGAGACTAAACTTTTTTACTTTTCACCTTTTGGGACCTAAACTTTTTTCTTTCATCTTTTGGACCTAGAAAAGAATTTCTAGTTGGATAAATTAACTATAGCTAAGCTGCGGGGCCCACTAATTGTTTTAGGTTCTAAATTTTTTTGCAAAATTTTGTTTTGTTAGTTTTCCCCAAAGAAAATAATGCTCAAGGACATGACCACTATGTGGGTTATTTCACATATTACGTTTATTATTTACACATATGGACATATGGTGCTTTTCTAAGAGATAAGAAGCTCACCCTCTATCTAGCTCCTAGAAGCAAATACTCGTACATTTGGAGTCTTTTAGTAATTTAATGTGACTGTGTGGGTTATATACTTGGAAAGTTGCTGAAATTGAAGGAAGCTGACTCTATAGGAAGTGCTGAAAAATTCGTAATTTAAATACTTGGGAAATAATTCTCAATTTACCCTAATTCAACGCTCGGCCTTAAGTTTATATACTTGGGAAAAAATTCTCAATTTACCCTAATTCAACAAAAATTCTTAAAAACAAGAACAAACAAATAAATTAAACACAATAACAACACTAAGCATCAATTTTAGCATCATAGTTCATGAATGCCCATAATTTTTTCTTAAAAAAAATAAGCCCTAAACCCTAGCAGAAAATACAAAAATTGAAGTAAAAAATGTGAAAAACATTAACTTATTTTTGAAAGGGAGAACAAATAAAGGGAAGTTGATGATGAAGAGTGGGAGTCGAAATGGTGTCTTATTTTTTTATTATTATTATTATTTTTAGGTTAACACGCATTATTTTTTGGGGGAAAACTAAATAACAAAAATTTTCTTTTGCAAATAAATCAGAATCTAAAGCAATTGGTGAACCCCACTGCTTAACTATAGTTAATTTATCCAACTGAAATTCTTTTCTAGGTCCCAAAAGGTGAAAGAAAAAAGTTCAAGTCCCAAAAGGTGAAAAATAAAAAACTTTAGTCCTTAATTGTTACCTTAAAAATAGTTCTAAAAAAAGGTGAATAAGTCAACACTAGTTTATGTTTTTATAAAATTGGATATTGCTGACTTATTTATGAGTTTATGAGTTTATCATGGTGATAATGGAGCAACCTCAGATTGTTGATAGTAATAAAAACTAATGGTGGCAATTAGACAAAAGGAAAAAAACATTTTAATAATCCCAACTATGAGCGATTTACTTCTAATAATCCCAACTAAGGTTTATTTTTTAATACTTCCAACTATGAGGTCAATTTGCCACTAGTAGTCCCAACCGGTTATCAACCTAATATAACAAGTTGCTTTGACACGTGGCATCACACGAGTGGTTAAAAAAATAAAAAATTAAAAAACTTTTTAAAAAACCCTTTCCTCCCTACCAACCAGCCCCTTCCCCCTAGCCTAGCCGGAATCCGCCGCCACATTGTCGGAAACCTCCCCTTTCCCCTTCTACCCCACCGAAAACAACCACCTTCCCCACCCCCACCCCCGAAACTGCCCCACACAAATAGTCATGTTGATTTGAATCACGCACAAAGGGTAAATTTGGGGTTCATGTTAGATGTGAGTTGCTACATTGCTTGTGGGGCTTCGATTGGGAGAGTTGGTGATACAATCCCAATTCTCATAAAGCTTGTGGGGCTTTAATTGGGAGAGTTGGCGATTTACTTCTATGGAAGTTGAATGGTAAGTGCTGGTGATTGAAGCACGACCAATGTTGACTCGGTGGATGGGGGCTAGAATTGGGGGTAAGGGAATGGTCGGATTCAAGGGTGGGGGGAAGGGAATGCGGTCGAAATCGAGGGAAGAAGAAGGTAGAGGACTAAAATCGGGGGAGGGGAGGGGAAGGGGGGCCGGAATGTGGCGGTTTCCGGTTAGGAGGGTGGCTGGGAAGAGGGTTTACTTCTTTGCGACACGCGTAATTAAAAATAAAAAAAATTAACCTGTTTATCAAATTACCGGTCATCCGGAACTATTAGAGACAAACTGGCCCCATAGTTAGGATTATTAAAAAATAAACCTTAGTTGGGATTATTAGAAGTAAATCTCTCATAGTTGGGATTATTAATGTTTTTGGGTAAAGCTATATTTCGGGTTTAGAACATCATAATTGTGTTATTTGAACGACTCAATTGAATGATCCAAAGGGGAACGGGAATAAGACAAGGAAAAATGCATGATAGATGGAGAATTGAAAACAAAACCTGAATATCTTTTAACTTGTTTGTTTTACAAAAAAATAAGGGAAACTCATACACCTTTCACCATCAATACCCTTCAATGTAAAACCACCACCACCACCAAACCCCTTCCCTCTACGTTGCTCCACAACTAATGCCCCTAACCACTACGTTGCCCATCGCAACTCTTCTCATTCCAATTTCTCTTTCTCCTTCGTAGCCCCTCCCCCTCTTTCTTTTTCTCTCTCTTTCCCTTTGCATTTATCTTCAACTATTATAGATCTACTTGTTTGATTGTTTTTCTTAATGAAAAAGGTTTCTTTTAAGGTCAATGCATGCGTGGTTTTTCAAATGGTTTTAGTTATATTTTGAGTTAGTGAGGGTCTTATCGAATAAGATAAGTGGTTTCTAGGAAGGTTAAGATTATTTGAAAGGGTTCTTACAGTGGTTTTCAACAATGGATAGGGTGGTTTTTATGTGATGAGATTAAGGCTCATGGTAGTTAGAAAAATTTTCAACTGAGGTTGGGTGCATTCAAAGGTGTTTGAGTGGATTTTTGGAGGTGGATGGGTGGTTTCGGAGTAGGATGGGTTTTTCTACATTAATTATTATATATGTGTATATATAATCAAACTCAATATTAACCAGTTTGTTTCAGAGCTTTGGTTCAACGCCTAGGGCTTAATTCCGGTGAGAAAGATGGCCGCTTTGGACGTGAAATTGAAAAGTTCATGGATTCACGGGGAGTAATAGTTTTAGTTTGTAGTAGATCAAGATGCAGGCTTTGTTTAGGCAACAAGGGTTTTGGGCACCATTTAATAAGAAGTCATCGGATCCTGTAACCATTGAGATGGTCATCTGGCATCTGATATTATCACTGAAGTCGCGAAAGAGGAAACCGTATCTCCCTTAGAATTCAATTAAATCAGTTAAATACAATTTTGTTAGAATTGCGTAAAATTGATGTTATTAGGGTTGGGGATGAGGATATTGGTTAGCTTTAATTCTTTTAGTGTCTTTGCTAATGTCATATGAGAATTTTGTGCAGTCTTGTATTATTGGTAAAGATACGGTGTATGTTAGATCTACTCTTCGTACTAGAGAGTTGCATTCACCATAAGGCGTCTAGTATAGGTACAGATGATCAGGCTGCTAGTTAGTATCCCAATGGATGTCATGACAAGTGAATTCGGGGAGAAAGGACATTGGAAATCTGATTGTCATACACCTAGCCTATTAATGTCTATAATTGTTTAGGGTAAAAAAATACCCCCAACATGTGGCCCAATCCAATTATGACACGTGGCCTAATAGCAGGGCGACACGTATCCCTATAGGCAGATGACACGTGGAAAATATAAGAGCACCTCAATGAGAGAAAGACCTCCTTATATCAGGAGGCCCAAATCCCGAGAAAGGCGCTAAAACGACGCCCCTAAAGGACACTAGTCCTTACCTGATTGCACCGCCAATTAGAGATCACCTTTCTAGGTCACTAAACCCTAGATAACACGCACTCCCACCCCTATAAATACCCCAGTCACTTATGATGGGAGGGGTGGATAGAGACATCTCAATTATTGCATAAGCAATTTGCTCCAACTTCTCTCTACTTTCTCTCTTTAAATTACTTCATTTTTCGGTCACTAACTTGATTGTCAGAGGCGAATATTCCGTTAAATGGAATATTCGTTGTTTTGCAGGTGTCCGCGACCGTTCGGCTATATTCAAGACCTGTATCCTGAGGGATTCCAAAAAACCCCAAAACATTTAGCGCCGTCTGTGGGGATACACGTCTTAAATGGCTAAAGATGGTCAGACACCCGATCCTGGTCAGGACGGACATGTAGAGAACATCATTGCTACAATCAACACTAGTGATCCTCTGACTGCTTCGTTCCATGAGGCGATGGATCCCCCTGTAACGGCCGACTCCTTGCAGGCCGCCTTGAACAAGCTTCGAAAGGAGCTTGAGGGTAAGATACCTTCTTCTTCTAGACAGCCATCCAGAAGAGAAGAAGAGGGTAGGGCTGGCAAAAGCTGATCCGACCCAAAAACACGACCCGAACCCGACCTAAAAATAACGGGTTAGGGTTGAGGTGTTCGACCCGAAAACTTAAATGGGTCGACACGAACCCAACACGAAATTTAAACGGGTTAGGTTAAGATTGAAAATCCCAACCCGAAAATGACCCACATAACCCAAAAAAAAAAATCAGGTCATTATCAAGTCGGGTCAACCCGAACCTGACCTGATAACCCGAATACATTTAAGTTTTTTTTTTTTCTAAAAAAAAACCCTTAAAGAAACCTTTAGTCCAGCCCAACTTCAAATAGGGCCCCTTATAAAATCAAAAACCCTAAATACCCCTCTTTCTATTCACTCTCTATCAGCCGTTTTCTGCCATTATCTTTCTCTCTCTTAAATTTTTTCTCTCTTCAATCCCTAAAATCCTCTCCATTATTGTTTAAACCCTAAAATCCTCTCCTATCCTTGAATTCTTTTCATCATTTTACGCCTCATGCTAATTTTTGCTGTTAAGTTATGTTGTATTGTTGTTATACAGGTTTTGCCTGG